GGGCCGAGGCACACGAAGACGTGGATGGCGGCTTGACCACCGATGGGGATTGGGAAGGAAATTGAGCGGAATTGTGGGTATAGGGGTGATATGCGGAAGGAAATTGAGCTACCAAATTTCTAGTCAGATCATGGAAGGAGGCAATGAGCGTAGTATTTGGCACGTGTTTTTACTGTTGACGTGGCAAGTGACAAGGAAAAGAGAAGCTCTGGCAGCAAGGAATTTTGGTTCCTAGGTGGTGGTGTGCTAGGCCTTCGCGCGCACGGCTGGCTACGATGCATGGTCCCGGTAGAGCTTGACTCAAGACCGTTTCACAAACTCTGCTCCATAAACTCCATCGTGGAGCGGCTTTAAAAAAACTGGAGTTTATGGAACACCTCTTTAGGTGCTCTCACAACTCCACATTTATTTCCTTGAACAGAGTGCGTGGAGCTGAAACCGTTTGGCTCAAAAATATAGAGCGGAGCAATCTCAAACACCCCTTAGTTTTCAATGCATGTGAATAAAACAAAAGACTTACAGTAAAGTTTTATTCATGGGTTTCCAAAATACTGACAAGTTGGTAAAGGTGCGCGCTAGGCCCTGTTCGCTCGAACTAATTCAGCGGTACTTTCAGCGAACGAATAGTATTTTTTTCTCTCAACAAATCAGCATAAGCATCAGCATAAGCCAAATTCCAGCTAAACACATCTTCTCTTTCTTTATAATTTATATGCCATATTATTATTTTTAGTGTTGTTATTAAATAAAAATGAAATTCTGGACTAGCCTACAGGAGCATGTTCCTTCATCCAGATGGTTTGGTTCTGTTTTGGATCGAGGCCTGTTTTTTCGGCAAAATATTTGGTGGAAATCACCTACTAGGTGGAACATAGAAACCAATTAAAAAATATATCTCGGTTGTTCAAAAATTTGAAACTTGCCACGTCCATAGGACATACAAATATGTACTCACATACAAAAGTTAAAATTCACACCCACATTTGAAAAAATCATACAAAAATGACATTTTTTTTGCTCATGTGCACTAAAATACAAAATTCCTGGATTTCGTCTTTTAGTGCACGTGAACCTCATATTTGTGTGATTTTTTTTCTAGTTTCAGTTGGCATCTCAATTTTTTTTGTATGAGTACATATTTATATGCTCTATGGATGTGCCAAGTTTCAAAAAATTTGAATGAACGCAATACATTATTTGAGTTGATTTACATATTTTCACTAGTTTCCATAGATATTTTGCCTTTTTCTCGTGCCGGTCATCGAAGTTTCCAATCGCGTTGCGCACCACCCGCATAATCCGAGCTGTCCATCGCGCTTCTGCACGGCCCAGACCTTCTGTGACGGTTCGGGCCCCGACGTCCCGTCCCCGGGCCCGGCTGTGCGCGAACGCGTGACATATCGCAAATGCGATTGTGTCCGGTGTCCTGGTACGGACGCAGCACAGTGCCATGACCGGACGCAGGACCCCAGCGTCCGGTTACTTACAGTAAGGTTCCAACTACGACCGGATGTGCCAGTTTGATCATGACCGGACGCAAGACCCCAGTATCCGGTCATGCCCGACCGGACTCACCCAATATCCGGTCACACTCTGTCTCCTCTGTGGGCTGCCACGTCAGCAGGACCGGATGCACCCCCGCCAGCGTCCGGTCATGAAGTGACCCAGCGTTCGGTCGAAGACCGACGCCAGCATCTTCATAGCTTCCATTGATCGGACGCTTCGGTCCAGTTGAGACTAGCGTCCGGTGCACTCTGTGAAACCCTGTCTTTTCTGTACAGGGCGCCAGTGGCACCATCGGACTGTCCGCACTCTACGGACGGACACTCCGGCGAAGTTTCTAACCCTTGCTCAAATGTGCCAACCACCAAGTGTATCACCTTGTGCACATGTGTTAGCATATTTTCACAAATGTTTTCAAGGGTGTTAGCACTCCACTAGATCCTAAATGCATATGCAATGAGTTAGAGCATCTAGTGGCACTTTGATAACCGTATTTCGATACGAGTTTCACCCCTCTTAATAGTACGGCTATCGATCATAAATGTGACCACACTCACTAAGTGTCTCGATCACTAAAACAAAAGGCTCCTATCAAGTTTCACATTTGCCTTGAGCTTTTTATTTTTCTCTTTATTCTTTTTCAAGTCAAAGCATTTGATCATCACTATACCATCACCATCATCATGATCTTCACCATTGCTTCATCACTTGGAGTAGTGCTACCTATCTCATAATCACTTTGATAAACTAGGTTAGCACTTAGGGTTTCATCAATTCACTAAAACCAAACTAGAGCTTTCAACAAGGATGCGCTATTAGTAAGCTTCTCTTAAAAAACAAAATTAAAACAGCTAGCCAAATAGCCTTAGCATATCCTTGAGAGTCGGGAGACTACTCCCACCTAGTCGAGTAAGTCTTGCGGAGTACCTTGTATACTCAGAGTTTTATTCCCCTAATGCAGGTAGCAGGTGGATGCTGGAGCTAACTGTTGCTGTATGTGGACACCTCCTGGCGGACTCAGCGAGGCTTCCTTTATCGTCGCGATCGTAGCATTTTATTCTTATAACTCTACTTCTGCTTCAATATTCAAAACTGTTTACTTCCGCTGCTTTTGTAAAATGATCTTTCTTCCGCTGCTTTTATGAAATTGCTCTGTCAAACTCTAATTTTTGTAATCTTGCGATGCATGAAATGATTAATAAATGATGTAAGCTTTATTCACTTGTTTATGATCCTGATGAAAACGTGGATTTTCGAGTTCTTCTGCCGGGTGTGCTCGACGGACTATCGGGTTTAGCTTAGTCTCTTATGTACTTAGTGTCAAATGGCTAACAAGTACACTTGGGATTAGGTTAAATTGGGTGGTTCTGCCACATAGAGTGCCACCTACGCTGTGAATCGATGCATCCAAAAATCGACTCAATGTCCTACGATGGTGAGTCGACTTGAGCTGGGACATTGGGGCCCTCCGATGGGACAACAGCAAATAGGAGACAACCTCCTTGGCCCTTCGTCGGATGAAGAAATCATTTTTTATTGCTGATGGCCGCTGATGAACCGATGCAAGAGTTTGCATCGACTCTTCTCTCTCCTTCATGGGTCGATATACTCCGGTTCATCACTCATTCCATTTTGGTGACACGTAGGACGTTGCATCGGTTTGTTTTTGCCACTGGAGAAGCCCTAAGGTTGTTGGAATTTGGTCTTGTGATATGAAGTCGGATGGATATGTCAAGCCTTCGCCGAATTGTTGTTTATCTTTGCTTAGCCGGAGATCGGGACCTCCGTTCACGTTAGCGGCTGAGGCACACGAAGACGTGGATGGTGGCTTGACCACCGATGGGGATTGGGAAGGAAATTGAGCGGAATTGTGGGTATAGGGGTGATATGCGGAAGGAAATTGAGCTACCAAATTTCTAGTCAGATCATGGAAGGAGGCAATGAGCATAGTATTTGGCACGTGTTTTTACTGTTGACGTGGCAAGTGACAAGGAAAAGAGAAGCTCTGGCAGCAAGGAATTTTGGTTCCTAGGTGGTGGTGTGCTAGGCCTTCGCGCGCACGGCTGGCTACGATGCATGGTCCCGGTAGAGCTTGACTCAAGACCGTTTCACAAACTCTGCTCCATAAACTCCATCGTGGAGCGGCTTTAAAAAAACTGGAGTTTGTGGAACATCTCTTTAGGTGCTCTCACAACTCCACATTTATTTTCTCGAACAGAGTGCGTGGAGCTGAAACCGTTTGACTAAAAAATATGGAGCGGAGCAATCCCAAACACCCCCTTAGTTTTCGATGCATGTGGATAAAACAAAAGACTTACAGTAAAGCTTTATTCATGGGTTTCCAAAATATTGACAAGTTGGTAAAGGCTTGGCATTAGGCCCACAACAAATTCGCTCGAACTAATTTCATTCGGTACTTTCAAATAATCTAATAGTATTTTTTTCTCTCAACAAATCAAGCATAAGCATCAAAGATAAGCCAAATTTCAGCTAAACACATCTTCTCTTTCTTTATAATTTATATGCCATATTATTATTTTTAGTGTTGTTATTAAATAAAAATGAAATTCTGGACTAGCCTACAGGAGCATGTTCCTTCATCCAGATGGTTTGGTTCTGTTTTGGATCGAGGCCTGTTTTTTTTGGTGCAAAATATTTGGTGGAAATCACCTACTAGGTGGAACATAGAAACCAATTAAAAAATATATCTCGGTTGTTCAAAATTTTTGAAACTTGCCACGTCCATAGGACATACAAATATGTACTCACATACAAAAGTTAAAATTACACCCACATTTGAAAAAATCATACAAAATGACAATTTTTTTTGAGTTTTCATGTGCACTAAAATACAAAATTCCTGGATTTCAAATTTGTCGTCTTTTTTTAGTGCACGTGAATCAAACTTTTCACGAGTTGAGGGTTGGAAAGTGTCATATTTGTGTGATTTTTTTCTAGTTTCAGTTGGCATCTCAAAAATTTTTTGTATGAGTACATATTTATATGCTCTATGGATGTGCCAAGTTTCAAAAAAATTTGAATGAACGCAATACATTATTTCAAAAAATTTGAATAAACGGAATACATTATTTGAGTTGATTTACATATTTTCACTGGTTTCCATAGATATTTTGCCTTTTTCTCGTGCCGGTCATCGAAGTTTCCAATCGCGTTGCGCACCACCCGCATAATCCGAGCTGTCCATCGCGCTTCTGCACGGCCCAGACCTTCTGTGACGGTTCGGGCCCCGACGTCCCGTCCCGGGCCCGGCTGTGCGCGAACGCGTGACATATCGCAGATGCGATTGTGTCCGGTGTCCTGGTGCGGATATATCCCCCCAGCTCCAAGAGGTCAGGACTCAGGACCTCCTGACTCCTGAGTCTCTCTCGACCCACAAGAGCAGAAGCGGCTCGACTCGCCGAGTATACGCGACGCGACACGAAGCCAAGCGCGGACCAAACCCTACCCCTCCACCCCGATCCACCCACCTCTCGGCGATGAGTTCCTCTTCCAACGGCGGGAAGAAGCCGGCGGCCGGCGGCGGCCGTGGGGGCCCCACCATCCGCACGCTCTCCGACTTAAACCGCGGGCCCGCCGGCTTCCCTGGCGCCGGAGGTGGCGGCAGCGGCAGCGACGACGACGAGCCCCAGGAGTACTACACCGGCGGCGAGAAGAGGTATATCTCAGCCCCTCTCGTGGGCCATTATTTCCTGATTGACTCTGCTGGGATTTGCCTGCGATCGTGCGTACGGGCATCGGAATCGCCGCCTCCTAGTTTTGTGATCTAGTTAGATCGTCTGGCTAGAGTGATAATTGGCTTCAACCTTCAGGGTTAAATCTCGGATTCTCTGAACTAGATTTTTTATGGTGTTTCGCGTGTTACTTTTGCGCGGATTTGACTTTATTTTCCATGTGAGCTGTGCTATATAGGGCAGCCGTGACTTGTGTAGATGTGGTATGAGCAGTAGCAGTAGCCTTTGATGCTCCCAAGTTGCAACATACCAGAAATCTGTGTCTTTCAGTTTATGTCTGTTTTTTTATTCTTCAGAAGAACTATGCACTATTTGATTATCCTTGGCGTGCTTTGGGAGTGAGCCTTCTTATAGATTTTGGATTACAGGATATTTCTGTCTCTGGACACGTATCAGGTGAAATTGCGAGTGATCTGAACTAAAGTTGTTTGCGCATTGAACTGACAATGCGAAATCAATACAACTGCTACATAAAAAAAAACATGGAGCTCAAACTTGGGGCATATGTGCTGACTGAAATTGAATGGAGAATTGTCCAAGCCCTGTGGTGCATTAAATTGTACATACACCTCAAATCATGATGATGCAAATTTGGTTACAGATGTTCCATTCAACTATTATTGTCTTTAACCCATAATGTACTTATCCTTATTGCTTTTAAATTGCATTGTGCTTTCCGCGAGGAATAATAAACATCCGATGCAGTTAACATAGTCAGTAACATGATTGATTTAAAAGTTGCAACAGAGGAAACTTGGCCTATGCATTTATTTGGGCACATTGCTTGATTATTTAAATTTCAGTGTAGCTTGCGCACAAATACAATTATATGAAAGAATACATGTCATTCCTCTGGCGTTAAGGGAATGGATTTGGGTAATATCGAATGCCAGTTCGAGGGTGTGCTTTTAGGTCTTGATCGAGTGTGCTTCCTTTCGTGCCTTGGTTAGCTGAACTGGAAATGCCAGGACTATGGGGAAGGGTCCCTCCGGGCGAGACGCGAGATGGCTAAATGTGTGTGACGAATTGTCTATCTGAGAAAGGCGCTGATTACAGCTCATTCCTTGGATGGACCATAGGCCTGGTGCTAGAATCTGGTACCGTCGACGGACTTATTGATCTGGTTGGCACTCTTTGGTGTGTTGCTGGAGGAGGGTTTTTATGTGGGAGTAAAAAGGAAGGCAAATCCCCAAAAGAGGAACAACAACTCTTGAGCTTATTTTTTAGGCTTCAGATTGATTATGGAATGAAGGGCTATCAAATAGAAAGTAATATTCATAGTTAGTGTTCCACTTAAAAGTGGTTCTTTTTTTCCTTTGAATGACAAGGCAATATATTGTAGCTTTACGGTCCATTACTTGCCTTTCAAAGGCATCTTGTTCTATATTTTTTGGACCACGCTTTTTTCCATCTAGATTTCATGCAGAACATTGAAAAGAAGATCTCCTTAATGTTTAGCTCCGCATCACAAATTAATAGGGGATTTAAGTTTGTATAAGTTGACCTTGTGCTCTTTCTTTTGTTGCGTGAGTAATTTTATATTTATCTTTGTAATGTGCAGTGGAATGCTTGTTCAAGATCCAACACGAAGAAATGACGTGGATGCGATATTTGAACAAGCCAGGCAGGCGGGTGCTATCCATGGAATGCCCCCTTTTCTTGACGACGAGTCTTCCAGCTCTAGGAGCTTTACAGGGACTGGCCGACTTCTTACAGGGGAGACAGTGCCATCTGTTGCACCTCAGGAATCAGCACCAGTTCGAATACGCCACAATATACATTTGTGGAACAATGGCTTTAGTGTGGATGATGGTCCACTGAGATACTACGATGATCCTGAAAATGCAGAGTTCCTTGAGGTGATTCCTTTTACATGATATTTCTGAATGATTTGATCTATTCCAAGTATTCCCTCTTTTCTCAATAAGATACTCTTTAAGAATTTGTGCCATCGAACTTTAGAATATTTGAATACTGTGTGTTGTTCCGTAGATGACTATTTAAATACTGTGTGTTGTACAAATTTATTTTCCCCATTAGTCCTGATTAACTAATATTTGAATACTGTGTGTTGTTCCATAGATGACTATTTAACAGTAATCACTTCACTTTATTATGCTTGTACTGCTCATCTCTCATGCTGTTATTTGCATTTTATTGTGGAAGGTTTGGACCATTTGCCCTTCAGATGTTCCAGAACATTTTGGTTGATGACTTAATTAGTGAGCTATCATGTTCAGAATGACAATTACTCCCTCTGTCCCAGAATAGTAGACATTTTAGGATCTAATATCACGGATACCATTGCTCAAGGCAAAAGACCTTAGTACCCCTAGAAATATAGATAGAGATGTATTGGGAAAAGAAAAAATGGTATTGGGGAGAAGAGAAAGGTACATTGAGATGTAAGAATGACAACTATTTTGGGACAAAATTTGAATGGTATAAGGTCAAGTATTTTGGGACGGAGGGAGTAGGTTACTTCCATTATTACTTCAATTGATTCTCCACCTCTGCAACTCAAAACTTGACAGACAGATCTCAACTTTACTGTGCCATATTGCTATCTCTTGTGCCATAAAATCATGAACTGATTTGTCTACATCCTATGGTTTCGTTTTCCTAATAGGCCATGCCTTAAAGACCATGTATGCTCATAGTGTTGGGCTGTTTGTTTTGTTCTCTTAGGCATAAAGATTTGTCGAGCTATTATTAAGTTCTTAGTTAAGTAACAGGACATCACAGTATTTTTTGAATGGGACATGCAAACATGAATAATTTAATGCCTTCATCGTTCTTACACTAATTGTATGCTGTTTCGGGTTTTCAGAGCCTTAAGATGTCAAAGTGCCCCAGGGAGCTGGTGCCTACTGATGGAGAACATGTTGATGTGTCTGTTATCAAAAGGATGGAAGATTACAGGGTGAGCCCTCTTAACTTGCATCCTTGCATATGGGCATATGACTGTATTCTCATTGATTTATGTCCCTTCTGGTTTTGTTCATGTAGGAACCTGTAAGGCCTCGATCAGCTTTCCAGGGTGTTGGAAGAACCCTTGGTGGTGGACCATCCCCAGATGAGAGTGCAACACCTGCTCCTGCATCAGCGGTCCCTGCTGCTTCGAGGTCTGTTGCATTGTTGTGGATGACTCCCAGCCATTTACATCCATACAGCTGAGGCTGGCTGACGGCACTCGCATGGTTGCCCAGTTCAACATGCACCACACCGTGGGAGACATCAGGTCCTTCATCGACGCATCTCAGCCTGGAGCTGCAAGGCCTTATCAGCTGCAGACGGGTTTCCCACCCAAGCAGCTGGCTGACCCAACACAGACCGTGGAGCAAGCTGGGCTGGCAAACTCGGTTATCATGCAGAAGATGTAATTCTTCAGCAACCTGGGAACTCCGATGCATCATACTGCATCTTTTGAAAACTGTCGTATTATGGTTGATCATGTTATCATCATTCATGGTTATAGTGATGCCTCATTGAGAGCTTAAGAGTTTATAATTCATCGATGAACTGAAGTATGCTTTCTGATTTACAGCAGATACTGAACTGACGAGTTAAAGACTATGCATGTCTGGTTATAATCAACCATCGTTGCTTGCATGACTGTTTTCATTTCTTATGTTATGGTGTTATATGATATTTTGTGTTGCCATCCTTTGCAACTTTGCAAGTTGAAGCGTGACTTGTAACGTATAACATGAATGGAATAGGGAAAGCGAATCGATTCAAGTTGAAGACTTGCAACATATAACATGAATGGAATAGGGTAAGGCGAATCGATTCAAGTTGAAGCAGGACTCTCAGCAATGTGAGCCTGCTCGCTTGCTCGTATACGATCGTGGATTATAAGTTGGAACAATATTTTTTTTACACATTAAACCAGCCAGCAATAAATAATCCATAATCCACGATCGTTTATGACGAAACGAACATGCTGGTTAATTGTACTGGGAAGGACGAATCGATGGTTAGGTTTGGGATTAGAGTCTCGAATCCGTTCCGTTGTTTGGAACTTTGCTACCAAGACTCGACATTCGTCCACAATCCCTGGTGTGGCCGAGCGCCCTCTGAGAGGTGGAAGTGGAAATCTGGGAGTTTGGAAGCATGCCATGGAGGCAGATCGCAATTCTTCCCCGTGCGACCTCCTCCCTCATGTTGCCGCTGCTCTCGCACCTCCAGCGTCGCCTCCTCGCGGCGGGCCCAAAACTCCTTGCTCCGCCCTTCTTCCGCTCATTCTCCAGCGCCACCGCACCGGCAGCACGCAAGCCGACCACCGCCGTGGCCGTCCTCTGGGACCTGGCCGCTTCCCGTCCCCCGTCTACTCTTCCGCTCTACGACGCCGCCGTGCGCCTCCACCTCGCCGCCACCTCCTTCGGCCGCCTCCGTCTCTCCGCGGCGTTCCTCCACCCGTCCCACCGCCTGCCGGCCCCCGCCGCGTCCGCCGCCACGACCCACCTCTGCCGCGTCTGCGGCCGCCGCTTCCGCGCTCGCGACGCGCTGCTTCGCCACTTCGACGCCATCCACGCCCGCGAGCACGCAAAGCGCGTCGCCCGCATCGACTCCGCCCGCGGCGGCCGCCGCGTGCGCCTCGCCGCCGCGCTGTCCCTCAAGCTCTCCAAGTACGAGAAGGCCGCGCGCGAGCTCACCGCCGGCGCGGGCACCGCCTCCCCGTCCGACGAGCTCGGGCGCGCCGGCGTCCGAGTCGAGCTCTCCCGGACCCCGGCGGCGTCCCTCCGGGAGCACGCGCAGCTGGTGCTCGACGAAGGGTCCGCGCGGTGCTTGGTGCTCGTCTCGGGCCACGAGGAGCTGGCACCCCTGCTGCGGGTGGCGAGGGAGAGGGGCGTGCGGTCGGTGGTCGTCGGTGGTGAGTCCGGCCTGGCGAGGTGGGCGGACGTCGGGTTCAGCTGGGCGGAGGTGATCGCCGGGAAGGCTAGGAAGGCCGCGCCGTCCGTGTCCGGCAAGTGGCGGGATGGGGACGTGCTCAAGGGGCTGGAGTGGAGGTACGATGAGGACGATGACGAGGAAGAGGTGGTGTTCGAGGACGATGACGGCGAGGAGCTGGCACGGAAGGCCAAGGGGAAGCCGTGGTGGAAGCTGGACTCTGACGACGAGGACTCCAGCGTTGGTGGTTGAATTGAACGATGATTTGATTTGCACATAATGTGTGTGCTCGTTTGCCGTTTTGGGATCTTTGATTTTGTGCGTAATGTAGTGGTTGCACTAATGATCTTGTAAACCCTGCAGTTGCAAAAGGCAAATCTGTGCGAGAGCGCAAATCTGGTCTCCCTGGTACAACATCGATCGGTGCTGCAGCACCTTTCCAGTGATGCGTACCAGCACTGCAGCAGAGCGCAGGCACACGATTGGCATACGCTAGTTGTTTGCCGTAATGAATTATTCGTAACTACTTGAAAAAAATTTACGATCATATATGATTGTATAAGCCGAAACGAACAGGCCGTGGGTAATCTATTCACTACTTGAATACGAAGTCGACACGCTGAAGTATCCGATCGCATAAGCAGTATAACCAAATACAACCTCGCCTCTTTGACGCAGTATACAAAATTTTTTGTTAACACTGGATCGACAGTACAAAAGCGCTGTTAATTGTGCAATCTCTGCAGACAACCAAATGGGTGTTACATCTCAGTACATGCTATGTTACATGTACCAGTACTAGTGTACTACCCAGAGGTTCAAACCAAATGTGCCATCGCGGCTAGATTCCGGCCAGCCCGCTCCAAGAACGCCAGCATACCCTCGCACTCCGCGATGATGGCCTCGTCCAGCCCGCTCCGGATCACGGGCGCGAAGAAGAGCCACGACCCGGTCCCCGTCACGAACGCCAGCGTCAGCGCCGTCGCGACGGGCCGCGGCGGCCGCCACACGCCGCCGTGCTGCCGCGCCAGCCACCGCTCGGCCACCGCGCACGCGCCGTGCAGCGCGAAGAACGCGGTGACCTCCCCGGTCCCGGGCTCCAGCGTGATGTAGTAGAACATGACCTCGTGCATGGCCCCGGACACGAGGAACGCCGCGAGCACGCCCGCCGCGGCGCCGAAGCGTGCGCGCACGGGGCGGTACACGCAGGGCCGGAGCACGCCGGGGACCATGAGGTTCCACCGCCGGCCCCAGAAGTCGCGGAGGGAGGAGGCGAGGTACGGCCGGTCGAACTGCGGCTCCAGCTCCGCGCCCAGCAGCGCGCGGGCGAGCGCCGCGGCGGACGCGAGGAAGAGCTCCAGCATCAGGTACACGTGCGCGCCGTCGAACACGGGCACGGCGTATGCGGGCATCCGCGCCCTGTAGCACCGGACGGAGACGAGCGCGGAGAAGAGCGCCGCCTTGGCCGCGTAGGACAGCAGGAATCCGGAAGGGAGAGAGGAGCGGGATGCCTGTTGCTGCTGCTTCTCGGTCTTGTCCCGGACCTTGACGGGCAGCGCGGCGCACGCGACGAAGCGCACGAGCGGGAGGGCGGGGTGGAGCGGCCCGTGCCCCGCGGCGAGGAGGAGGAGCTTGAAGCCGCAGAGCCAGACGAGGAAGAAGGCGGAGATGGTGCGGAGGTGGATCGAGGAGAAGGCGAAGGGGAGGACTGGGAGGAGTAGGAGCACCGGGAGTAGCGCCGCGAGGCGGGGGATGCCGGGGGCCAGCCGCGAGGTGGCGAGACGAGCGTAAGCCAGGGCCACGGACGCGGCGGCCGAGACCACGGCGAGGCTGGCTACCTCGGATGCCATGCCTGCCTTACTGACCACGGCGGCCACCGGCCGATCGAGATCCGGACGAAGTCGCGTGATTGTCGATCGAACTGGTGATGGAATATGTTATTAGTAGGAATGGCGATCAAGGAAAGGATTAAAAATACATCATGTGCTACGCAAGGTCCAAGGTGAGCAAATTGTATCCTCAAGTATCATCTGCGGTGTGCATCTGAAACCGTCGTGTCTTCTCCACCCTTTGTGTCGTCTTGTTGAGCATGACGATGAGTCGATGACGATGCCTCGTGTCGTGCCAGTGCGGAGCACTGAAAGCTTCTCGTTGATCTCAGTTAGTCAGTTGAGAGAGATCATATACCCTTTTTTGAATGTCAGATTGGGACTGTAAGTTTTAAAAAGGTATGGGAAGAATTGTAGTACCGCAGTTTGAAAAAGGTTTAGGGCACGTTCGGTTAGCAGTGAATCTTTCGCTGGATTGATTCCTGTCTAGATTGGTTATTAAATTTATATAAGTTTTGAGTAGTTGAATAATTTCTGATGCATTCCTGATCAAATAGCAGGGAACCAATCCTGATCCATTTCTATCAGGAATATTTCACTAATTTATACTAGTTTGTTCAGCTGGAAGAGCTCCTGGTTGGATTTCACCCAACCGAACAAGCCGAAGAATTCCAGTTCCCGCATCGGCACGCCGCATGTTGTTTCAGCAGTCAGCACTCACAACTCAGCTATGGAGCGGGACTGTGGGAGTACTTCAGCAAAAGCGAAAAACGGTACTGTACTCCTGTTTCGATCGACAACATTTACTGTAGGGAGTGTTTGTGTTATAGAGAGAGAGTGTCCATCACCGTCACACTTTTTCATCATTTTTTTTGTTTGTGTGTGGAATGGAACGATTTGTTGCATTGACACCTCATTTTTCACAAGCTACTCCATCTGTCCTAAACTCCTATTATATAAGGTGCAAGCAATTTTTATTCTAATCCGAAGTAGTAGTATTAATGTTGAGAGAGAGAATTAAATATGTTCCTCGGTCTTTAAACTAAAGTAGTTACACCTTATATACTAGAGCGGAAGGAGTAATTTGTACTAATATATGAAGAATGAAATCATACCATTAAAATTAGCAAACTGCTTGTTGGTCGTGACTTGTCAGAACGATCGTAAATTTCCAAATTTGGAACAGTATTTTTTCTCTCACACAAACCACCAAAGAAGATTACTTTTCATTTAACCAAAGAACGATATAAACCCCACCAACCTAACAGTCAGAGGTTATTTTGATCCATGTCATTATTATTTTTTGAGCTTTTGATATATACCATTACTATTTACTTATTTAGAGGAGGAAAAAGCACGCAACAGGAAAGATGCACGGGCAGGCTGCTTGGATTGGAACCGAAAGGGAGAGAGGAGGGAGTGAGATGCACATAGCAAGAAAGAGATGTAGCTCAGCAACTGCACACACAGCAAGTGCAGCTAACGACTAGAGAGTGGGGGTGAGGACTGTGGAGGTGAGAGAAAGTGTGTGGGGGGAGAGGTATAAAAGAGAAACCCTAATGGATCTGGCCCAAACAAATATAGCTCAATAAGTTGAAACAACCCATCTGCCTATTTGGTATTGATCGGTCAAATAGGACGATTTATCGCGGGTAATCAACGATAAATCGGATGACTAGGTTTTCTAATCGCTCTGATCGAATCAGATGACCTAATCGAGTGCTAGGTACTAATAAGGACGATTAATCGCAATTAATCGGACGATCTGACAACATTGAAATAGAGAGAATTCCCTCATTACCATTTAAACCTATAACAATTTCTTCATTGCCATCCAAAATTATAGATTGCCATTCATTTAGAATTTTTTTATCCCCACATTGTCATTACCGTTATATGGATCAGCCTTATTCCTTTGATTGTCTTTCATATAGATAATTTATAATTTATTTCCTTAAATATCATTGGGAGAACAAAACGTCGTTACAAGGTGTTCGTTACATGGGACTAATGCCGTGAGCAGGTTAGGGCGATGTAAACGGAGAAGGGCGATGTAAATAAACGGATAAAGCACGTGCAGGTCAGGGCTACTAGCACTTGGGTCTGCTGTCACGGTGATCTCGGACCTACGAGGATAATTTACTCTTTCCTTGGTTATCAGAAGTATCACTGTAGCTAACTCACTGTATGGGCCGCGGAGGCGAGAGGCACGGGGGCATTGGTTGGCTTCTCGGCCCAGTGCGCTTGCGGCGAGTGGCGGGCGCCCGAGTCCGCGCCCTCCTCGCCCCTGCCATTCGTTTCCCGGGCCCTGTCCCGTGTGCGCTCGGAGCCGAGAGCGCAGTCAGCGTCTCAGCGACAGGCTACTCGCGCCCAATCCCAACCTTGAACAACCTAGCTTCCCGCGTGCCCTGCCTTTCTCTCCCGTGACCGCATATCACGTCGTCTCTCTCGGTGGACGTCTTTCACGCGCCGGTGACTGCGAGCCCGTGACCGCCGACCTCCTGCTCCTGGGGTACTAGCTACCTGCCCGTCGGATTTTCCACCGACGCATGCATCGACCGATTTGCCGCCGGACCCTGCCTTATCTTCTGCGGTTTTGTATGCAGAGAAACTACGACCAATCCAGCGCCCCGCCGGCCGGCGCCGTGCCAACTGCCAAGCTCACAGCCGCGGTGGTGCATGCATGCCACCGCATGATGGATGCTCGCTACCTCCGGCGGCTGAACGGCTGAAGCAGCATAGACCGGGCGTGCGCGACCATCGCGGCGGGCAGTCGGCGGAGCGAGCGAGCGCCGAGCGCGGGTTCGATCAATTCGATGGATACAGCTGTGCCTGCTTGCTAACCGAAGGAAGCCGCATACGGGCGGCCGCGCGTCTCGGGCGCGTAGTACGTACGGGCTCGGCGCGTGTGGCGCGTGGCGAGATCCATCATGTCATGTGAAGGCGCAGGCGCTACTTCCGGACGGTACGCCAGTACCTGGAATAGTGACGGATCAGCGGCCGGGAGGGGGTCCATTTCCCGTGCAATTACGCACAGCGAAAACACTGCCCCACCGGCCGGCGCCTAACACGCACGCACGCACGCACTCCTGGTCCTGCCTCGTTCTAGCTCCGTCGGTCGTCGGCCGGAGGACGGAGCACACGCGACACGCGAGGAGTATATACTACTACGTACACGTACCTGCTAGGCTGCTACAGGATCCACCGTCCACGTCATTTGTTACAGTAGTAAGTACTACTCCGGCCAATGCGTTGAAAGTCGAAAGCTATACGTATATGAATCGATAGATTCCTTTCTTCATTTATGGATCTACCCCGACCCCGACCTGACCCGGTGATCTCGGGCGAAGGATGGTCACGCCCGAGACTTGCCCCCTGCGAGGTCCATATACGTCCACTGCCGCAAAATGACATACTCCGTATACTCCATGTAGCAGGAGTAGGGTACCAGAGTATAATTCCTCTGTCCACAGGAGAATACAAGCGTATATGATTTGTGCCAATCAAATTAACTTTAACTTTGACTAAGAATCTATTTGGATTTTCTAGTCTCAAAGTTTAGTTAGCTAAAATTCAACACTAAAACTTTAGACCACGCTTTAGCTCGCTTATGTGATCTAAAGTTTTTTAATAAGATTGGCTAAACTTTAGACCTCTTGTTCAGAGCCTTAAGAGCTAAACTTTAAACCATGTATGGGATCCAAACAGGGACTTAAGTGTGTAGCGAATAATATTAACATTTATGCCTCCAATTAGAATTATTACGAAAATATATTTTATAATTAATTTAATGATACTTATTCTATATCATAAATTCATGAATTTAGTATTTTTTTATATAATTTTGGTCAAACAAGCGGCATGTACATTTTTGTTTTCCAAAGAACGAGAGTGAATTATAAAAGGTTCAGAGCTTACAAGTAACTAAACGCAGACCACGGATGCTGGCTAAAATCTACGAGAAATCAAGTTTGACTTCACAGAGCCCGCATGACCATAGACGACAGATATGTACTGGTTTCCAAACACGCATACGATACATCTTGTTCTCATATGCGAGCACATGCATGCGAGATAATGTCATAATAATGTGGTATTACCAGCTATATATATAAACACAACACTTTCTCTGGATGACTGGATAAATGGCTAAACATTTTAAAGGTCAATACCACTCTCGCTAGTCACAAATATCACATTCTCTGGATGACTGGATAAATGACTGGAGTAGCTGTAATTAATTGGGTTGCAAGCACACAAGCAAGTTCGAAGACTGAAATATGGACGCCAATATTTCTTTGGACACATTTCAAAATGGTATTGCTAGATTTGTGTTGAAAAAATAGTTTAAAAGAATCATAACATTATTTGTGTATCTATAGGTTTCATACTAGCTACTATGCTCTAATGGCCAAACTAATGTCTTAGTGACTGTGTTCCTGTCCTAAAAGACAACGGATTGTGATTAGACAGAGTATTAATCACCAAAAGGCATCCCAGATTCCCAGATGATTGAAAAGTCAATATCTACACTCTTCAAAACTGATTGAAAAGTCTTCTAGCAAAAAGCAAGTATAATAATAGTCTTATTATAGCCCAACTAGTCAGTATTTTTCTATGTGGAGGAGAGAGGAGAGCTTGACTCTCATGCAGAAAACAAGTTAGAAGTGAGTCTATACAGTGATAGGCCCATACATCGAAAGAATTATGAAAGAGAATGTGAGACATGTACAAAGTAATAATAATAAAAAAAATATAGACAAATAAAAGACAACTATTGAGAGACAACTATTGTATAGTTGCCTCTTACAACTTCTCTTATAGCTAAACATATATATGGCTCTATTGTTAGGCTGCTCTAAGTAGTACTTGCAACAAGTTTCCATTTAACTGTGCTACACTTGTAGTGTCTCCAGCATTGACATCAGATATTATATATCATTATGTTTGCGCGGTACGTATATGTGGAAGTAACTAGGTATATCTACGTAGTACTGGTGGCAATAAAGAATGCATAGCGC